CTATACAAGCTTGTCTTCCAGTGTTTTCAATTACAGATATGGATTTTGACTACCATATAGTAGAATGGACATCAGCAGACAATGGCCAGAGTGGGTTTGTCCAACAAGTCTGCACCCCCATTTCATCGAATGGCTCAGAGCATCATTTTCTGCATTAACGTGGCCGTAGATTTGGGATGATTTGGGTATATCAATTTCTCATTTTTGGACAAAAATATGACAACATCAAATCATATCCGACTATAGTCGCGACTATATCTCCTGCTTGGTGGGTCTTATCCCTTTGTTTCGAGACTGTGGCAATTTTTTCCAACCTGTCGAAGGATTTGGGCATTGAGCTCTGGAAATATGTGGCGCGTAAGAACGCGGCCTCAGGAAGGAGGCTGCAGATGGGGAGCGGTCAAAATGTAAGGTTGGATAGCATGGCATAGATTTAAAATGAAAAAGTAAGAGTAAAAACATGAGAAAACCATCCCATTTTGCTGTTGTATGTGGGTAGACTGGCGGCCTGATGATGTTTTTTTTGATCACATAAGTGGGAGCATTTTCAGAGTTTTTTCTATCCCATTTTTGGGAAAATGATGTGCCATGGCTGCCATGGTCACGTCAGTTGGATTGGATTCCCAGCATTAGATGGATGACCATATGGTTCGGACTGTATATATATATATATGTATATATATATATTATGCAGATAAGTGTATATATAATATATATATATACGTATATATATATATATATATGGATGATTGTCCCTGAACAAAAAATGGTATTTCTTTGTTTGACATCAAAGGGTGTCTATTCCCTTCCCTCGATTTAATCGAAGGCGAACCTTCTTGGGTTGCTTTCTGCAACGCGCTGGTCGAATGAGTGAGGAGACCCGCAGTGGCAAATATGATGTTGTTTGCTTTGGTGGTTTTAAGCATGCTCAAAAAATCTCAAAAACAAATTCTCCTTTTTTGGGATGAGGATCCCAATCTGTTTGCTTTTTTTGGGGTTGATGCTCTAAATATGTTGTACTTTTACGGGCAAACCCCTCAGTTTGCCCGCGCCGACGCCGACGACATGTCCGAACATCAAAAAACACTGTGTTTTGTGGGACAAAATGCACATGTCCATGATCATGGCTTTCATCTTGCAACGCGCAGCTTAGCTACCTGTGCGTTGAATGTTACAACAACAACAACATCATCATCATCATCATCAACAACATCATCAACATCAACATCATCAACATCATCATCATCATAATAATATAATAATATGTTTCATCTTCATCATTATATTCCTAATCCCCTTGTTGATCTTCCCAATTGAATGTAAAGTTTAACCGGGTTGGGAATTTATATTTCTAATCCCCTTGTTGATTGATCTTCCCAATCAAATGTAATGTTCAACGGGGGTGGGAATTTATATTCCTAACCCCCTTGTTGATCTTCCCAATTGAATGTAAAGTTTAACCGGGTTGGGAATTTATATTTCTAATCCCCTTGTTGATCTTCCCAATTGAATGTAAAGTTTAACGGGGGTGGGAATTTATATTCCTTCAAAAACCCTAAGAAGTTGTGTGGGCGAACTGGGGGTTTGCGCATACTTTTACCCTATGTGATGATTAGACATTTTCCCAAGTGATGGACATGTTTTGTATTCATTCATGATATTTTTGGGGTTGATTGTTTCAAATAGTATTCATGTTTCCCACTAGATGATGATGCATTTGATACATGATTCCAATCAATTTTTGGATTTTTTTGCTGAGCTCAAAAAAAACCCAAGCAGTATTTACGATGGAAGTGCTCCATCCACTCGGGTGTTTTCTCCCTGAAACTGAGATGGTCAAAATTTGGACCTTTATTTCTTTGGAGGTGGCTCAATCACCGAGCATTTTTCGCACTTTGATCCTGTTGCTTCAGCCCCGATCCTATATACGTGAGTATTCCACCAAGAGGATTGCTGGGGATAGATTGAAACATGTGGAAACCAAGAAGCAATTCAATGCAATTCATTCCTTCCTCCTGGTATCAGATACCACCTCGCAAACTCTGAATCCGATATTTTGGCTATTCCCGGGTTGGGATTAGCTGGTTTGTGCCACAACATGCTTCTTCTCAGGCCAACCACCCCTTTTATGTGAGAAGAAAACCCATGAAACAACTGCAAACATGAATCTGAATGCCTTCTCCACCAAAACGGTTTGGTCATGGTCTGAAAATCGGTGACCTCATTCCATTGGTCACTCATGATTATTCCATATTTCTCCCATTTTTTCCCTCTCAAAAATATATGAAACTTGTACATATATTACATATGTTCATGATTTTCCCATGATTTTCCTATTATTTCCCCATGAAAACACAGCCAGAGCCACCAGGAGCGGGGCGGCGGTTCCTTGACACTCCTGGCCTTTGCCAGGTTGAAGCTGCAGCGCCCAGTCGGACGGACAAAGACGTGACCTTTTTCGGCGCCGTTTTTCTAAACCGATGTATAGGTGGTGTATGATAAGGATTTTTTGTATAATTGTTCTGTATAATCGTGTATATATATTATATATATACATATCCAGAACATTTTTTGTGTATTCATATATATAATATATTATATTGGATGTTATATGACTATTATGAATGTTAGATGGGATTGTTAATGGGATTATATATATTCCCCTTACGTCCCCTTACGAACCATTATTAATAATATATCCTGACTAACTTAGTGGTGATATCCCAGATTCTGGATGCTTGTCAGTTACCCTTCCGGTAATCAAACGTGGTTTGCTGGAGAATTCACCATTTAGTTTTTATGTTTTTCCCAGCTATAAAGCTTCATTTAGTTTGGGGGTTTACCAGCTGGTCACGTTTCATTACCGGAGGGTATCTCATATGCAACTACTTGGGATGTCATATGAGCAGTGGCTGCAAAAGCCCTGTTGAATGGTGATTTTGTGGGTTCATATCGTGGAGAATTTCTATCAACCAATCAGTCCAGTGTAGAGGGACGGTTTTTGAACACTGCGAGGCTATGGAAAGCCGAAACAGCCGTGTGAGAGTTGTTGCTATGATAGCAAGACATGGAGACAGCGAGTTATTTTTGTTGCTTATGTTGACCAAGAACTGACTTTCTGGTTTCGGGTTTCACATATTTTCACATATTTTCTATTTTCTTTGGGGGGTTGAAACCGCCAACCAGCTTGACTTCTGCCACATCGGTCTGAGTCTCTCCACCAAGGGATACTTCGATGTTGTCACGCCTGGAATTGGAGGTTCCTGGGCATTTCCCAGAATTGGATGGTGGTACAATTGACAGGAGCCCCCTGATATTTCAAACACTACTACACTGCCAACAATGGAAAACCCCGTGGGTTTCCCATGAAAACCAACCCATTGAAACTCCAGACATTTTACCAGAAGCACGCATGGCTTTGTTCCAAATTGGAAGCTTCCAAAATATCTTCTGCATCGTTGTGTCACGGTTGTCTTGAGCAGCACCCAACAATCACAATAATTGGGAATTTAACATCTACCCTCTGGTTATTTAACATAGCCATGGAAAATCCCCATGCTATTAATAGGTAAATCATCTATTTTTATGGGCCATTTTCCATGGCTACGTTAAATAGCCAGAGGGTAATTCAAACATCACTATGGAAAATCACAGTTTTTTCGGACGGCAAACCTCCAGGTTCCAGGTCTTCCGTGAATCAAGCTGTTCGCATCAGAAGTGTTTCGATTGGTGGCAGCGATCCACGCCTGTTGATGATTAGTTCAGGGTTACACTACCCTTTATAGATTGGGAAGTATCATGGATTATCATCATCCTAATCAACATATATCAACATAATCAACCATTCCTTGGGGGATTTTCCGATAGGTGTCCAAAAAAGCTGGTGATATTTCTCAGTACATTTCATTTGATCCAGTTTTATCATGTTTTATCTTCATGAATGTTAGTTTACGCAATAGTAAACCATCCCCAATAACTTGCCATTTCTATGGGTGATTTCCAGCCAGCATCCAGCGGGATGTTCCGGTCACCGATCTGACCTGCTCGAAGTGCGAAGCAGCCGTTGCCAGGCGAAGCTGCGAAACTTAATGGACATGGAGTTGGATGAGGCCAGGCCAAACTGCGACGGGGGTCATGATATCAGCCAGAAACGATATGTTTTATAATTAAAGTTTATAAGATATGGTAAACACTAAAATCATGCGGGGAATCACATCATACACCAAGAACAACAAACTTCATGTAGTTTTTATAGTATGATAGCCTCCAAACAGCAAGAACTGGCTATGGTTATGTATGCTTGATCATTGATTCTACCACATTATATAATTATTGGCATACAGCGAATCAACATGAGAACATCATCAATGACAGTAAAGGAGGCAAGAGGTGCGGTTTCGAGCACACCATGAGTGACATATCATAGCTGGTTGATCACCATAGGATGACATCTATTGATCTATTGGTTGATCGGATGACAATGAACACAAGAAGGAAGCAGGGAACCATGTCCAGTGGCTGTTGTAATTTCAAGGATCTCGGAGGCAAAGACCTTCGAGGAAGCACTTGGAACTGACCAATCCATGTTCGGAACTCTGTGTCAGCCCCAGCAGAAATGAAGTAGTATAAACTGCCGTTTGATCATAATCAGTGATAGCCCGGGCAAAAAGTCAATGATAGTGGCATTCAGCGATGATCATGATCCTTTGTATGCTACAAGCGATTCCATTCCCGTCATCAACAGCCTTCTCCTTGTATCATTTTTGGACCGACATTGTCATCATCATCAACAGCAATCTCCACCCAAGAGTGTCCAAAACTTTGGGTCCCCCAAAATCCAACATGCTGGTCTATTTTGGAGAAACGTGGGGAAACCATCTAGATGCCGTTTCCGTAGCTTTCACCCGGTTGATTTCAAGCAAGATTCATTGCAGGAGTCCATTGCTTTTTTTTAAACAAAGCATCGATTCTAGAGCGTTGCTGTCATTTTTCACCGAAAAAAACTGGAAGGGTCCTTTGCTATGCTCTCAGTCCTGTCCACAAGCGGCCGCGAAGTTGCAGCGCTTGGTGCCGATGAGTTTACAGCAATGGTGGAAAGCTTTGGGGCCTCAGTGGCTCGGCGTCATCAGAGGTACACCCCAAATGGCTATTGCGGGGAAAATGGATATAGAATAGTGGGATTTTGGATAAATACAGTTAAAATAAAGGCTTAATAAATATATATATATATTGTATACATACATACACAGTATATATATATAATTGTATAATTTATGATTTTGGGTGTGTCTGAAAATGTGGGTATACCCCCCAACCAACGTAGCCGTTTTAATGAGGAAAATGAGGATCAACCAGGTTTCCTCTCATTTTTCCTCTTTTTTTTGTTGTGGACATGGGTCCAAGATGCTCTGCACCAGTTCAATCTCAGGCTGAATCCCTCAAGCGGCACCTGGCACCGCAGCTGGGTGTGAGTCGCTTTCGCCTCCGCTTGCTGCGGGAGGGCAGCAGTGAATGCCTGGCAGATCAGGAACCGCTGGAACTGCCCATGACCCTCCAGCTGGTGATCTTGGGATTTGCACCCAATGAGGTCCAGGGGGGGATGAAAGATGTTCCATGTGGATTGCAAGTCTTGATGGGGGAATGTGCAACGGCAATCAACTGCAAACATGGGGTCACTGTAAGAAAGGGGATATCGTTTGTAACTGTGTGTATATGTCTTTGGCATGTCTTTGGCAAAATATCTATAAGATTAGCCATGTATTGGAGATGTTCCATGGTTTGGTGATGTGGAAACGCTATTTTTTCAATAACCTCCTGGTGAGGTGAAGCAAAACGTGAGCTTCATGTCCGCCTGCGCGGGTGACTTGCTGGATGAGGTGGAACAACACCTGCAGCGACCCCAAGACCCAGATGTCAGCGACATCAATGGCCGGCGGGCCATCCATTTTGCTGCAGCCAACGGGCACGCGGAGTGTGTTCGATTGTTGGTTGAAGCAGGGGCCAATAGAGAAGCTGCTGACAAAGTATGCGGGGCAACGCCACTGCACTTGGCATGTTTGGCCGGCCATCCCAAGATGGTCGGTTTGCTGTTGGAACTTGGGGCTCAGACAGATCTTGTGACGCAAGAGGATGGTTCAACTCCCCTGCACTGGGTGACGGAAACTGCCAGGTGCAAGGAAAGCTGCTCGGAAGTCTTGCGGCTTTTGCTGGAAGCAAAAGCTCAGACCTGCAAAGCCCGCAGAGATGGTTCCTCCGCGATTCACTTGGTAAGTTCCGATGGACATTTAAAGATGCTGCGTCTTTTGTTGGACTTCGGTGCTGAAGTCGACGTGCTCAATGGAGATGGTGCCACACCCCTGCACCTAGCAGCTCAGGATGGACATTTGGAAGTGGTGGAGGCCTTGCTAAATGCAGGCGCGGAGAAAGATTGTCGCATGAATGGCACAGGGGCAACACCTCTACGCCTGGCAGCAGGGGTCGCACATCATCATATCGTTGAGCTGTTGATCCGGTGGGGTGCCAACAAAGATTTGGCCGCAGACGATGGCAGAACTCCTTTGCAGGTTGCAGCTCTCCATGGCTACTCAAAGGTTGGGGCTTCAACATATTTCAACATGCTTACATCAACATCCATTCACTGGAAATCATTCAATCATGATACATTGATATGTTGACATATGTTGACATGGTTTCCAAACCTTCAAAACTACCTTAAAGTATCTTAAAGATCTTAAAGTCCTTAGTTTCATCCATTTCATCCCATTTTCCAATAGTTTTTGTATGTTTTTGTTGCCTTCTGAAAAGAGCACGTATAGAAAAAACATCTCACCGCAGGTGGTGGCTTTGTTGGCCGGTGCCGAGGATGCCAAGGACGGGAACCTGGTGGCCGAGGATAGCTTGGGACCCAAGAGGCGTCGCGTTTCGAAGCTTTCGCGAAGTGAAGAAAAAAGGACGGCCCGCTGCTGAGACTCCGGTCCGGGGATCCAGTCGGTACAACTTCGAAATGGATGATTAATAATGATTAACACACATCGATAGATTTATAATCATTTATTGACATTTATGTACTGGTTTATAATGATCGAACATGTTTAAGATGTTTAATGGCTAATAATGGCTTTAATTTTGGTCAAGCATGTTTAATAATATGGTCAATAGTGGTTAATAAATGTTACCCTCTGGTAAATAAACAGTTCGACCCTGAAAATAGCATTTTTTTTTTAAAGTGGTTTCACTAGTCTTCCAACCCCGGTGACTGCCAGGGTCTATGTTAATTTACCAGAGGGTAATGGTTAGTGGTTCGGTTTTAGGTTACCCTTTGGTAATTTGGTCACGTAGCGAACTGGAAAACCATGGAGTCCATCGAGTTCGATGATTTGAAAAAAACATCGCCGCCCCAACATCTTTGGTTTACGTAGTAGTTGGATCTCAATTTGGAGGATTCTCCCAAAGATATGATACATAATAATGTATAAATTGGGTGTTATATAATGTTATATATACCTATTCTTGGTTGGTTATGTAATGTTATGTAATATTTTATATTTAACACTCAGTTTTTATCCACCTTTTCTGAACCTCACTGGCCCATCAAACCCTGTAAATGATGATTTATGCACAGGAAACATATCGCACATGGCTTATTTAACTCATCGCAGGTTGTACCAACGCGCGAAATTGAACCACTGGCAGTGTAGTGCACTGGTGCAGACAGTTGTGAAACAGTCCTTTCTTGATGTGTGAAAGCAGGGGCCAGCTTCCACTTGAGTATATATCAGCTGTTGCTTTTCAGCGGATTTCTACCTGCCAGACAGCCTAGGATCCAAAAGGATCTTACGATATCTTACGATACTCTTTTCTCCCCAGAGCCGATTGTAAAGGATTTGCGACAGCGACAGAAAGGATGTTTTTGTTGTCACTTTATACAGGTGTAACTTTCCCGGTTACATCCATCTGCTGTTTCAGGATCGTGTTCCCTCTTAAAATAGCCATTTGGAACATGTTGGCAAAATTCTCATCATAATAGCATCATTATAGCATTTGGAACATCATCCGCTACCATCATCATAACATCAGGATGTTCCCTACGGTGGATGGAAGAAATCCTGCACCATAATTTATCAGGTGGTTCATCCCATTATTTATAGGCTTTCAACCAAGGTGATGCAGGATTTCTTCCACCCACCGTATTTTTTCGCCAGGGAGTTCGAGCGCGCGCCGTTGAGAAAGTGCAGCGGCAATTGGCGGAACTCGCTGAGGAGCCGGAGCGTTCAGAACTCGTGAAGCTTCAGCTGAAAAACAAGCGAGTTGGAGTGGTTAGTTGGTGGTATATCTTATATAATATTATTATAGATGATTATACATTCATTAGTAATCATATGTAATCACTATAGTAACTAATTAACAAATTAGTACATTCTACCATTTCCTAGAGACACGATGATCCCCATTCACGTTCATATTGTTTTGGGATCGGTTGAAAGCACCGACCAGCAAAGGAATGCCAAACTTTGCGACCATGTGCGCGCTATCAACAGGATGACATGGGCTCCGGTGTGCCAGACGACTTCTTGGAAGAATCAAAGGTGGGAGAGACTGGCGAAGGATCTCAAGAAACAGGTTCACAAACAGATAGAACGAGTTCTTATCAACCCCTAAAAATCCATTGTGGCAATGGCCCAATATAAAGTTGTTGTTTCACAGTAAAATATATTGAAAGTGAGGTATTCCCCTTGCCATGTTTGACTGCTGGAGGGTACAGTTGGACAGCAACAATGGTGAGCTTGTTTGAACGACCTGGACATGTTTGAATTTGTCTTTCGGTAACCCATCAATTAAAACATTCACAGTGCACAGCTCCTGACAAGTGAGCAAGGCATGTGGCTGAAACAGGACATGGATCAATATTCGATCAATATCCATGTTGCTTTGTGTCGACTGAACATGTACAGTCCATTTGGTAAAAATGGATTTGTCCAGAAAATGGAATGCACCTGGGATCCACTGGCTGATCAGTTACATATTATTCATCCAATGGCCAGGCGGTGACAGATGGACATGTGGTGTTTTTGGACGATGCCATCAACAAGGCGACATTGGTTTTCTTGAAGCTTCCCGGGATCATCGAAGAGAGTTGGTGAAGATCTTCGGTCCAGTGGGAGGTAAAGTGTAGCTTTACCAGGAAGAGATCATATCAGATAGGATGATAGGAATTGATCCAGGAGCCGTGATTTAGGGAATGACCGTGAATTTCCTGGGTTTTGTTCTGCTCGAACTCCCCAACTTAACCAATTTACGTGTTGACGTCAGGAGGGTCAGGCCACATGGGCCATTGACATCCAAGAGTGGCCTGGACCTGGGGTACCCGGTAAGTTAGCTCCTTAAATTTTGAGCGTGGGGGACTGGCCAACACTAAGCTACTAAACCATCCCCAAATACCAGGGATTTCTCAAGGGCTTGTGACATGTTAAAACATGTTATAAATATTATCCCCACATTTTAGAGATTTCTGGCATTGGGATCCCACAGTTGCAATTTGGCCCCAAAAAGCCTCCCCCATCTGCAGATTACTTGAGCAGTGGCTGCTAAACCCCTGTTGGTTGGAATGATATAGGGGATTTCACAATATATTGGAGATTATAACCTGTGGGAATCCCATTCTTAACCAACCAGTAGAACGGAGGTTTCAGATGGTTTTGAGCATTGCTCACCTGGATTGCCGAAGAATATGTTCTATTTTACCATTGGCCAATTCATTTTTTTGGAAACCATTGGGAGATTGTGTCTTATTTTTTACGCCCCCCTAAGCAAATCCAGGATTAAGTGTATCTTCCAAACGTCCTTCATACCTCGATCGAAGTAGCGAAAATCATATGGGTCCCTGACGTTTGCTCAGCGGCTTCACAGATTGCCCCCTAAAATGCTGAACCCATGGACACTTTCAAACAGGATTCATATCTTCTTCATGGCGGCGTACGGAGGTTTGCCACGTGTTTTTGATTCGGGCTATGACATGCTATCTGCTATGACTGAAAATCATAATTTCATATAAATTCAATGGTTGACATCAGAACAAGACCACCCCGAAATTTTGTCCAATTTGTGGGTCAATTGGTGCCCAGCTTCAACCACCAACAAAGCCCCAAGGTCTGTGGCGCGAGGCATCACGGCCAATTCCATCCAGAATCGCTACCTGGACATGCTGGAGTGGGCGGCTGAGTGGTGAGTGATATATTGAGTTGCCATATTTTTCTGTGTCTGAAAATGTGGTATACCCACCAGAATAAGGGAAAATGATGATTGACCAGTGGAGCTGGGGGCACCCCATTTTCAGACCAACCTACATGTTGCCATATGTTTTTTGCCAAACTTTTTAGTTGACGAGTGAGTTTCGGCTTGCATACTGACAAACTGATTTCTAGTGAAATCCGCCAAACATATGAAAGATGAACAGCGTTTTTAAACGGGTATTTCATGGTATTTCGGTATCAGGGATGAGGACACATGGCAGTGTGTCAAAACCTTGTACTCCTGGTGAACATCAAAATAGCTGGTAAATGGATGTTCATCCCCCTAAAAATGGTATGTATAGGTATTGATCCATAGCCACATCCCCAAAGATCCGCAAAAAAACACTGCAAAATTACTTTACTTCGTGTGATCCCCACCATGACATTTATACATGTTCTTACTGGCACATCTTCTGGCATTCTATCTGACATATCTTCTGACATTCTGTTTGGCATTCTATCTGGCATATCTTCTGGCATTCTATCTGACATATCTTCTGACATTCTATTTGGCATTCTATCTGGCATATCTTCTGGCATATCTTCTGCCATATCTTCTGGCATTCTATCTGACATATCTTCTGACATTCTATTTGGCATTCTATCTGACATATCTTCTGACATTCTATTTGGCATTCTATCTGGCATATCTTCTGGCATATCTTCTGGCATTCTATCTGACATATCTTCTGACATTCTATTTGGCATTCTATCTGAAATATCTTCTGACATTCTATTTGGCATTCTATCTGGCATATCTTCTGGCATATCTTCTGGCATTCTATCTGGCAAATCTTCTGGCATTCTATCTGGCATATCTTCTGGCATTCTATCTGACATATCTTATGGCATTCTATCTGGCATATCTTCTGGCATATATTCTGACATATCTTCTGGCATTCTATCTGGCATTCTATCTGGCATTCTATCTGGCATATCTTCTGGAATATCTTCTGGCATATCTATCTGGCATATCTTCTGGCATATTTTCTGCCATTCTACCTGGCAAATCTTCTGGCACTCTATCTGACATTTTATCTTCCTACATGAGGTCCGGCAGGGAACACTGGGCGTGGATGGTCGTGGTTGAGGTCCGGCAGGGAACACTGGGCGTGGATGGTCGTGGTTGAGGTCCGGCAGAACAACACTGTGGATCGCCGGGTCGCAGTTGGACGAGGACGACGAGGGACGACGAGGACGACGAGGACGACGAGGACGACAAGGACGACAAGGATGACAAGGAGGACGAGGAGGAGGAGGAGAGGAGGAGGAGGAGCAGGAGGAGGAGGCAACTGACATAAAATCTAACAACCCTCACCTGGCAGGTGGGGAAATAGGGAAGTTCGCTTTTCGTTTTGACACGTGTGTCACAGCTTGAGCTCACCAGATTTGGCAAAATGAGAAGCAAGAAGTTGGCAATAAGTACCCTCTGGTTATGTCAAAATAGCTATTGAACATCACCATTTATAGTGAATTTTCCCATGAAACATGGTGATTTTCCATAGTTATGTTAAATTACCAGAGGGTATCAATAAGCATCCAAGATCATCCCAGCGGTGAACCAGACTGGGCCAGGTCCTTGAAGCTCAAGGCCTTTCTAATGAATGCTGAAAAGGAAAGTCAGGCCACAGCGCCACAGTTGTGGGATCCCTTGATGCAAGCCAATGGCAGGCCATGGTATGGCAATTTTTTTTCGAATTTTCAACCAAGAATTGATGGTTTATCCTGGCATATGCCTTGAGTAAACCTACAAAAATCTATGGGAATCCGTGGGTTTCCCATTTGACAATGATCTACAGATATCTACAGTACTTTCATGGTGGATTTTCGCTAGCCATGTTAGTGGCAACTGGAGGATGCCACTGTGTCCCAGCGAGCCATGTTTGCGGGCCATGGATATCAACATGGTATCAACATGTACTGTATTAACCAATATTCCATCAATAACCCATGAATATTCCATTATGTCACTGTTTATGTATATATGTATATATGATATATATGATATATATATATGTACTATGGTACTGTATATATATATATGAATTCCGGTAGTCAAACATTGCTCGCTTGAAAATTAACCATTTAGTTTGGGAATTTTCCTGTCAGCCATGTTTGATTGCTAGAGGGCAGAGGGTAAAACTGATATTGCACTAATCACCCTATACCGTTTAATCTCTTTACTATTCCATTATGTATATCCCATTATATCACCATTTATAGAGGCTAAGAACCATCATGGACCCGTGGGGGGGGGAAGGGGGGGGTGTAAGTAGCTTATCATATAAAGGTTTATTAGGGGCTTATGTGTAAGGCCCTTATTTGAAGCACAATAAAATCTTAATAAGCGCTTATTAGACGCTCAATAGATGCTTATCCGTTAAGCTCTGAACAAGGCCTGGTTAAGTCTTCAGCCAAGGAGCCTAGGACCAAGGTATGGGAGAGTCTGCGGAGGGGAAGAGGTTTGGGTGAGGATCGGAGGGTGGTTAGGGACGTTGGGGGTTGTTCTTTTTTTGTTTGGGGGGGGGGTAGGCAAATTAGGTTGGGAAACAGGCTTATCCAAGGCTTATCCTTTAAGCCCTGGATAAGCCCTTAATGAGCCCTTACCAGTTTTCAACCAACCCTGAACAAACCTTGGATAAGGATCTCTTGTTTCATTCATGGTTAAGCTACTTACCCCCCCTTACCCCCCAGGGTTCCATGAAACCATTATGTTTCCCATGAAACATATCATTTAAATATATATATGTATATACATATATACATATACATATACTATTATATAGCATACTTCACCTTCCGTATACGTACACATAATATATATATATATGTATATATATATATATATATACAGACATATTATCACCACGCATGGTATTTTTTTTCGGACCAATGGTCCCACTGTTCAGTGGTCGCCATTGGTCCGTCGCCTGGAGGTCATGGACAATGAGGATATGGACGTGAAGGCGCTGAATTTCCATGGCCATTGGTGAGTTGATGTGGAGATGGATTAAGGGATGTACTATAGGACTATAGGCATTTATGGAGGTTGTATTGATGGGATGTATGTGATTTTATAGGAAATGATAGGGAATTACATGGAATGTTGGGGGATATAGTGGGATATGAAACCAACAATTGTCATTTTGGGTGTGTCTGAAAATAGGGTACAGCCATCAAACTAACTGTTTTAATGCAAACCATGATGATTCACTAGTGAACTTGGGGGTACAGTACATTTTCAGACAGACCCATATGGCTTTGTTTGCACATAGGCTTACCTACCAAAATCATCTCATGGTTCGGAAAGTCTTTTTCCCGATAAACACGCATTCCATAAAAACTGGGAACTGGAATGCACTATGTTTGGACAAACCCGAATATAAAGAGGTGGGACCTGGCTTCAGAGTATCACAGACTCTATTTCCGGCGAACGAAAGAAGGTCCGCACCACTTGCAAAGTGCTCTACCTTCCGGTCATCAGCTCGATGGCAGTGAAAAATCCACCATTAAAACCTCCATTTATAGAGGATTTTCATGGATTTTCCAGGCAACCATGTTGGATTATCAGAGGGTATCCAACTCTTGGTCGTCTTTGATGCATCCAATGTGGAGCCTTGTTGCCAGCTGGACAACGCTCCCTTGCGTGCATTGATGCAGCAGTCTGTGGGTGATGTGATGACACCCGAGGACTGAATTTCCGGAACGCGAGGAAAGCTGGCTTCTAGCAGTTTGGGGAACCCTGATACCACCGTTCTAGTGCTGGGGAACCAGGATTTGCATGGACGTTACAGTGACGACTCCTTGGTTTTCCAACTTTTTGGAGGGAGAGCATGGTTAATAATCATCATCCCCATTATATAAAATAGCTGTTTTGATAGGACCCCAGTTTCACATACAACCAATATTGGTCATATTGATGGTTATAGGCTCACACATATTTTATGATATCTTGTAGAAATATGACGTTCATAAACTGTATATATATATACACCATATATATATACACGATATATATATACAATATATATATATATATACAATATATATATATACAATATATATATATACAATATATATATATATAATATATATATATACAATATATATATATACAATATATATATATATACAATATATATATACAATATATATATACAATATATATATATACAATATACATAATATAATATATATACACCAAATATATACTATTTATATATATACTATATATATACTATATATATACTATATATATACTATGTATATACTATATATATACTATATATATATACTATATATATATATACTATATATAGAGTATATATATAATATATATAATATAATATATATACTATATATATACTATATTTATATGCTATATATATACTATATATATACTCTATATATACTATATATATACTATGTATATACTATGTATATACTATATATATACACTATATATATACACTATTTATATACTCTATACATATACTATATAAAGTGTATATATATAGTGTATATATAGTATATATAGTATATATAGTATATATAGTATATATAGTATATATAGTATATATATAGTATATATAGCATATATATAGTATATATAGTATATATATAGTATATATAGTATATATAGTATATATAGTATATATAGTATATATAGTATATATAGTATATATAGTATATATAGTATATATAGTATATATAGTATATATATAGTATATATAGTATATATAGTATATATAGTATATATAGTATATATAGTATATATAGTATATATAGTATATATAGTATATATAGTATATATATAGTGTATATATAGTATATATAGTATATATAGTATATATAGTATATATAGTATATATAGTATATATAGTATATATAGTATATATAGTATATATAGTATATAGTGTATATAGTATATATAGTATATATAGTATATATAGTATATATAGTATATATATAGTATATATAGTATATATATAGTATATATAGTATATATAGTATATATAGTATATATAGTATATATAGTATATATAGTATATATAGTATATATACTATATAGTATATATACTATATATACTATATATACATACATACATACATACATACAGACACACACAGACATACATACATACATACATACATACATACACAGTATACACCATTACATTCCCAATAAATAATTTTCCCCGTTACAAAAAAACGGCCTTTTCGCCCATGCCTGAAGAGACGCCGCTTCGTGGCCCAGGACGAAGCGATTCTGCTCTTGTTGGCTGAAGAAGCCGCGGCTCGAGCAGCGGTTTCTTGGCAGCGGTGGTGGGCTGAAACAGCATGGAACTTTAATGATCTAATGGATGGAAAACCAGCAAAACTATGAAAATTAAGATTGGATCTGTTTTTTTTAACATTATATAACTACTCATGATGAATTTTATTGCGATTGAGTGGGAATTGAATGGCGATCTAATGGATTGAACCGATGTTTAACCCATGGCGATCTAATGGGAGGCACAGCGGTACTGCTGGAAATGCACTGCACTGCGGTGTTTATGGTCCCCGAAACGCCTTGTTTCCTCTATGACCTTATGATATGCTGCATGGACATGCTGAATTCAGTCTTTCCAGGAGAACGGCTGACTTCACAAGCACTTTGTGCAGTGTTAATGTTTGTAGAAAGTCCAAGTATAATTATAGATTGAACAATGGAATCCCCTTTGAAATGGCAGCGCAGCCCCCATTCTCTCTATTTGATATCACAAATTTCATTGAAACTCAAGATATTCAGCAGTTTGCGCGATCCATGACCCTCCCTAGGCCTCTAGACCCTTGGCTGAGCATGTGGTGAACCTCACAAAGCGCGGTTGACTGGGATAGGGGAGGTTGGCAGCTAGGGACATCCCAAAGACGCTTAGCAAAACCTCTCTGTTTACTAAACGACATGGATGTGTTTTGACAGCCAGTGTAAGGCTGTTAATTTTCAGCACCGCCAGATCTTGAGTTTTTTCTCATGGTCGACTTTTGGGTGCTGGTGACAAGCACATCACCGTGTTCTTTCTTGATGATTTATTGAATTAGAGGCGACAACAACTAATTAGCAATAAATCTTGGCTTGGGATTTCTTTCCCAGCATTTTGCTGGATTTGATAGGCATACTTGAAATTTTGTACGCTCAACACCAAGTCAAGTTCACAGGCAATTTGTTGAAGAGCTGCTGCGGGAGTGCTCATCGTTTCTCATGGCTCATTTTTCAGCTGCTGCCGAAGGGATTTCCCCACATTGGGCAGTGTCTGGATGGCTCAGATGGAAATAGCAGATCAGATTTCTGGTAGATGAAAAGAACTTCTGCAACCCCGAGATGCATTCCCAGTGCATGTCAGCTTCCAGATCATCTCAGATTTTCTCCACATTCTCTTCAAACAGACCCATCCTGCAGGCAAGCTCGCATTCGTCAAGATGACGTGAAGGACTGGTGCAGCTGGAGTTGTGGTTTGGGTCTTCCGGATTTTGAGACTTTAAGACAAAGATGGTGGTGTTAGAGTTGCTGCGATTCAACCAATGAATGCAACATGATACTAGGATATACTAGGTTTATGAAGTATCTTATCTTCTACCGTTGGAGGATAAGAACATCCCAGTTGAAGAAACATTACAGCCAGCAAGACATTCAGTACTTTCACTTTCAGAGTGATTTGGGGGTGTCTGAAAATGGATGAAAATGGGCGTATGCTTCCAAATAGCAAGTTTAATAGGGAAAATACTGACAAACCAATGGATTTCGGGATAACCTGTTTATAGACAATCCCATTTTTTTTCTGTCAGCCATTCCAGCACTAGAGTCTCTCAAGGGGACTGAACTCCAAGGAAAGGAGAAGGAGGGTAGCCCTGCTGAGAAGATGGGTGGAGGCAGTAGCAGCCTACGCCAAGCCATTTGTGGGTACAAAAATGGCTTGACTCCTGCCGTAGATGTCCATGTTTTTTTGCCCAAAGACCAGAATTGTTGCTTTCCTGCAGCAACAAAATGGTCAGGTGACCTGATCAAAGGAGGTTGGCATAGCCAATGGGATCAGAATTTGGTGCATGAAGGTCTAGAGATGGCGTGCGAATATTGCACCATTTAATGGAAGTCTTCAGAAAAAAGAGAGTATCTCTCACTTGGATGACCATGTCAGCTCAGTACTTCTGAAAAGATGGAGAAAACGGCCATGAAAAAAAAGCCAGGCCACATGGGATGATAAAACGAACGACATCGAAGCCTTGGTCGCGAAGCATGCCGAGGTTCCGACCTTGGCCGAGCTGGGTGTTGGTTTCGAAGAAAAACCCGCCAAGGCGACCATATCAATGGCCATTCCAGGAAATATCCCCAGAAAATATGGGCTTACATGGTACAGTACCATACAGTACCTCCATTTTAGGATCCTTGGGTTTTTTGCAAATGGACAATCATCGAACCTACTGCCTCTGAAAACAGGTCAGTACATGCCCAAATGACAGTTGACTTCTTCATAGGTGGCACAAGTGCAAAACATCTCCGTCAATCATAATCAAACCCCACACGGGATCCCTATCCATATTCAATTCATGCTGCCAGGGGTGTTTTGAACAAAAATGGGTCTGATTATCATGTGCTCCATCAATTGGCGGCCCATCCCCCATTCTGGAGAAACAACCCACATCACCTTGTTGTAGTAAGGCTTGCGGTGCGTAGACGGCGGTGTGTTTTTGTAGTTTTTTGCACATTTTTGGGGTGGGGTGGTGGGCTAATAACGTAATGTGCTTTGCGTCCTCACACGGATGCTGCCCTGGTGTAAGTTCTCCTGAACAGTTTTGCTATTGCTCATCCGTTGCTTTAATTCCCGCAGAAGGATATATGCTACGCTACACGATTTTCTCTTGTACTTGGCATACTTAACATATTTGCTACGCTATATTATGTTCTTTTGTACTTAACATCAAAAGGCACAGTAAGATGCACCCCAGTGTTCCTGAATATGTATAGATGTGGGGTTGGAGACGAAGTCTCGGAACAACAGCACCAAAGATATTTTTAGCAAAGCTCGAAGAACTGCCGTGACTAACGCCATGAAGAAAAAATCATGCGGAACCGAAGGAGTTGCGTCAAATACAAAAACACGGAAAATTAACACCTCGTTGTGGTAAAACTACATGTTTTGCAACTTTAGCCTGTAATAACCACTGTCAAAGCCAAAAAAATGGATGTATGTGACAACCATTGACAACCACTGTAACGGTATACTTCAAACACTGTTTGTGTAGCAGGGCCGATTTACATTGAAACTCACAAAGCACCACGGCCGTCTATGCACCGTTGTCCTTGTAGTTATACCATGTTATACCCACTGGTAATTTAACATAGCTATGGAAAATCACCATTTTTTAATGGGAAAATCCACTATTTCTATGGCCATTTTCAATAGCTATGTAACAAATTACCAGAGGGTACCCACTACAGTATGGTTGGTTTTAACACGTTGTTCACCTCATCTTTGGACAAACCCTGGGGGGATCCATTGCCAGCCCTTGAACGAATCCACAGGAGCTTGCGGACGTTCTTGAGCTCAAACCTTTGGAGAGGACACCGGGAGCATGGTAGAGTCTTGGTAGAGCTTCCCCCCATGTTTCGCGGAAACTTCCCGTTGTGTCACTTCCACTTCCACTGTTTTATTGTCCGAAAAATCGTTGGACTTCTATCCATGGTTTTTCGGTCTGATGTTGGACATTCCTTCCAAAATAACATCAAAAACTGGGAGTTGTTTGGAGAATCCTTGGGAAGGAAGCGGCTGCTGGCAGTTATCGAAGAAGGTGTGTCTCAGGAGGCCGTCCTGTGGATTCGCATATGTAAATGTAAATCTATGAGTTTCCCCATGAAAATGATCATACACATCGAGGATATTCTATTCTAAACATGTCTAAACTATTCTACACGATTTACTGGGGGGTAAAACTTACAGCCATGAAATTTGTGGTTTTCCGGGGAATTCAGAGCACGTTTTGTTGGAGATATGCCTTCCTGATACGATCATTTCCAGCAGACGTATCATCTTCCAACTCGACTTTCTGGGGATCAATTGCAGTTTTCAGCAGGGTATTCATCACTCAAAATGACATCAAGTATACAAATATACGGAGCAAGCAGGGCTCAAGAGCGAACTTGCTGGCAACGGCAGATTTCTGTCCTTGTTGATTCGTTGATGGCGGAGTTGTGTGCCCCCTCGCCGACAGCCGCAGGTGCCGACTGAGACTGAAGAATCCCTCTTGGCAGAGGTGCTATCGTTGTCCAACAAATCGCGGGATGAAGCTGAATGGTAGCTATCAATGAATGTCACAGCAGGCACTGGCCTCCTTGATCAGGATCTCTAGGTCTGATGTTTGGGCCTGTTAGACTTTTCCAAACTACTACATACTAACTCACCAAATAGTAGCATTTCTTTTCAGTGACTCTGTAACACTGATTTTGCGTTCTGTTCAGGATGCGCAGGTGCGTTATGAACACCTCCATTCGCTGCTGGAGTCTCTTCGGAAGGACCTGAACTTCGGGGAGTCGTGGTCGAGTGGAGCACCATCCGGGCTTCAGGTGGTTTTTTTTCCCATCCAGGCATATACCCTCTGGTAATTTAACATAGCTATTGAAAATGGCCATTTATAGTGAGTTTTCCCATTAAACATGGTGATTTTCCATAGTTACGTTAGTTTACCAGAGGGTAAACACAAATAACGTAAAGCCGTAAAGCCCATAAGGATTCCATAAGGCATTGGTGCCATGAATTTCTGTGTCCAACAACAAATGGGAACGCTGGGGACGCTGGGGACGCTGGGAACGGAGATTTTTCAGGAGCTGCCACCTGGCATGGATGTCACCAACGCAGAGGCTGAGGTTCGGTTTTTTCGTGGGATTCAACAGTTTCGGGATCCCCCAATGAAGATATGACGCACACATCTCCGGAAAGCATTTTTGATCATTTTTGACTGATTGATCGAGACTTGGGAACCTACATTTGGATTCTAGAAGGGTTTATATATATATAGATATGTTTAGATCCCCAAAATGACGAGTCCATCAACACCTTTTTTTTACCCCCACAGATCAGGTTGTTGCAGACTTTCACCCCATGCTGGTCAAATTTCTTTGTACTTGTATTATTTATGTGTTTGTATCCACGACTTTGATTCGCCCCTAGCCCATTTTGTTTGACCACAGACCGGCTGGGACAGGACATTGCGCTTTTCCTTGGCTATTTGCGTGCAAAGACACTGGGGGGGCAGTTGGCTCGGACCACCAGGGATTTCCTCCAAGCTGCTACGAAGAGTCCAGATTTCCTCGCTTTCAAGGGATTCTTCATCATTCAATGGCTTCGATTTTTCTTGTCCAATAGGCTTTGGCGACAGTTGAGTTCTTCTGCATAAACTCCTTCATTCTGTCAGACAGGTATGAAGCTTGTCTTTTCTGGCTCACATGCATAGAACCCTGGTACAGTCTATTGTCAGGAGTCAGGTGGTAGCTATCGGCTTCTAATCAGAGACGGTTCGCAAGAAGGAGATAGCGCATGGAGTTGAATCCAAATATCCTTGCAATATGACTGTTGAGCAGTTTTTTCAAGACAGGTGTCAGCTGAAGTCATATCCCAGCCCACTCATATTAGTCAGAAGATGTCAGAACAGGTTCGAGGGAAGGATGGCCTTGACTTGTTTTTTTTTCATTTTCGACAAGTTGGAGCCTTGACAATGATTGACTTCAAAGGCACCTTCAACATTCAACCCTTGGGTATGTTGAATCCAAGTAACTTAAATGGACACAGGAGCTATTCTCAGCTTTGAGCCACTTCACACCCCAAGACTTTCTACACAGAATCCTTGACTGCGAGTTGCTGCGCGCCATGCTGCGCGCTCCTGATCCGTATCATGGCGGATGGGGCGTGGAGCGATGCAGAGATGCAGCAAGCCTTGAGGGAATCCATGGAGTCTGCATCCGTGAGGTTTGGCACCCCCTTGAGCCCTCAGGCTGGGGAGATGACCTAAGTGGCTAGTTGTGAGTCATGGCGAAAAAAAGGATGGCGAAAAAAAGGATGGCAGTAGGGGATATCACCTCGGAAATGGGGATGTAACAGACCATCTCAATGAGGCTCCTCAATTGTTGGACATACTAAGATCGTTTGCTTAAGCGTGAATCATCTAAGAATCTAGGATGCCGCAAGAAACCTGGAATAATTTTGATTGCTCAGAGATAGTGGCTAAGAGATGTTCCTTGTTGCTCCTTGCTAGGAAACCAGTTTTAGTAATGCTGTTGAACTTGTCCAGAACTTGCATCATATATGTCACGACTGAAAGATTCAGTCCGCCGACACCTGGAATTCATCTTCAAGTCACGCACATCTCCAAACTCAAAGGCCATATCCACAAGGCAGTTGTGTGTTCCACCCCCTTTTCATGGCATTTTCATGATCATTCCACGCATGTCTTTGGCCATGGGTATCCATGCGTCCCCTTGTCAGGTTCTGCGTGACATGAACATTTTCTTTGAATGTCAAGCACCTGGCTCTGATACCTGTGGTCTCAATGCCCTCAACAACCTCTGCCAACAGCACATGTTTTCGGTGGAGGATTTACAGCAAGCTGAGGCCCAACACGCACAACTGACCCAGGGGGGCCACTTTGCCCAACGACCCTCCCTGGCAGAGGTCCCCAGTGGCTTCTTTGACGTGGAAGCATTGAAGATCGCTGCGTCGGTGAAAGATCTGGAGATTGTGGAAGTGGAACCTGTTCCAGACTACCGCAAGAGCCGATGTTTCGAATTTGCGGAAGCTTCGCAAAACTTCGGTGATGGAGCATATTTACTGGGCTTTTTAGTGTATGACCGACAGCCAGGGCACATGCACTACTATGCCCTGTGCAGACAGCCGCGGATGCCAGGTGGATTTGTCTGAAAATAGGCTACCCCAAGGATTCCAGCTGTTTTAATACACTTTCCCAATGTTGTTTAGTGGCCAGCACTTGAGTGGCCATAAAATTTGCCAGGTATGTGGGTGAAGCTGGATTCCCAGTTGCCTCCACTGTCAGCAGAGCACCGCAATGCCTTGCTTCGGGAAAGTGAGCTGTGGGACATCTACACTGCCAGCAAGCCGTTGTTCCAATCATGGCTTGTTCGATGGTATCCTGTGGTTTGGAGAAACTGGACATGGAAAGTCAGACTCTTTATTTCGTTCCTCTGATATTTATTCACGGTTGTTCGTCTTTCTTCCTAACCAAAGTTGTCCGATAGATACCACAGTGGGTCTCTCGACAAAAAAGTGACACTGAGACTACGCAGGAAAGGGTGCAGTTCGGCAGGTTTGCAAAACGCTGGAAAGTCGAAAGCACAAAATCTCCGGCAACCGGTGTACAAGCATCTTGCAGGACCCCTTTTTTAAGGGCTGGGCCAGGGCAGCAGAGGTCTCAACCCAGTGTTGATATGGGTGAAATCTTCGGGGGATGCTGGATTTTCTGTTCGCTTTCCAAAGCATTATGTGAAAGTGATAACTTAAGATATAAAAAGTCTAGATTCCAGCAGATATTGGCGTTTGCACATTACGGATACAAAAAGGCTACAAAGAGAGGGAATTAGATTTCTGACATAGCCAGTTTCTGACAGAGCTTCCAACTCATGGCTGAGAGGATGGTTTTTCGACTGTCTTACTGTGTCATTTCCCTTTGCGAAGTTCCGGCTTTATGCCCTTGATTCAAGATATTAAAGTTCACCCTGCCCAGCCAAGAATTCACTGGCCATGAAACTTTCCTACTATTGCGAGGAAATTGATCTAGTATTCTATTTGAAGATTGCCAGAACCTTCAACAGCCACCTTGCTTGGTATTCTTTGAACTCTGTAATTCAAAATTGGAGCATTGACATTTAATCACATTTTAGATTTTAGATATTTTTAGATCATTTTACAAGTTTTCCGGTCTTTTCTATATTTTTTTTGCCGCATCTATCGTTCTCCACTCTGTTCCAGGAGAGTGGCTGGTTGGTGTCGGGCGCCGTTTACCAACTCCTGGAGACACTTCCTTTGTTGACCCTGCGTCCCTCGGGTGCATGGGAGCTTCAATAGCTCCGCTCCGACCAGGTGGATTTCAGGATTTGACACAGCAGTGATGAAACTTAGAAAAACAAAATAGGATCTGGTGAAGACAAAATGACGCCTAATTAGATCTAATTAGATTTAATATTAGGTATCCCTGGAGAAGGTTTGGTTGATGGATGTTGATGGTTAGAAGCTACAGCCACTAAGCATGAGGATGTTGGCCAACAAAAATATCAAACATGGGTGTTCAACCTGCAAGAAAAGGACCATAACAATCTAATCTATAAAGAATAGATCAATATAAATGATGGTTGATTGAAAATTGCATAGGGCTATGATAAGTGGTTTAATCTTAGTTGACGATTATTCTCAGCCACACACCAGGAATTTTGCCCAGGGGACTGCAGGGGTTGACCTTGCCCTCTTTCCAGCTTTGGGATGTTTTGGCTATTTTCAAAGGCTTCCTCGAAAAGATCAAAGAAAGAGCAGGATAAAATGATTGCCCACTCCTTCGATTTATATATATATATATATACGATGTTCAACATATATATCTTTTCGGCATAGTATCATAGTGACGTTCCGTGATTTTCAATGATGTCCCGGAGTTTGAAAAATCGAAATGTGAACATCATTGAAAATCATCACTGAAAAATCATCATAGTGAGTTCTCAATGAGAAATGCGTTTTGCATCGCTTTGTGGTTGACAATTTTCGAAAAGGGCAGGAATTTCTCCACTCAGTTTTAAGATGATCCACTTAAAGTCATCAGAGTCTTCCTGGGGTTTCCTGAATATCAATTGGCTGATTGGTGGTTTGGAACATTTTTGAAATATTTTCCATAATATATTGGGAATGTCATCATCCCAACTGACTTTCATATTTTTCAGAGGGGTTGAAACAACCACCAACCAGTTGGCCTTTTCCTGGACTTCAGGTCAGCTTCTGGTGAAGTTTGCGCGTCCGTCGGAGGTGGAGATGCAGGGCTTGTTGGATGCTGGGCTGCTTCTGGTGTGAAGCTGGATCTGGATCTGGATAACCATGAAGAAATCCGGATTTGATTATGGAAAAGTTGGGATTCGTTAATCAAGGACATGGATCTATAGAGTCAAAATTTGGGATTCAGCAGCAACAACAAGGGGTTTTGCCAGCAAACATTGTGATTTTACGAGCAACGAATAGAGATTTTGGCCAGCGATATGCTGGACTCAATGATGAACAATGTGGATTTAACTACCCTCTGGTAATTTGTTACATAGCTATATGGAAAATGGCCATTAATAGTGGATTTTCCCATTAAAAATGGTGATTTTCCATAGCTATGTTAGTTTACCAGAGGGTATATAGCAAAGATATGGGTTTAAACATGTTTAAACAAGAAAAATATGGTGATCGAACCATCAACAAGTTGGGATTTCCAGTAACCATCAAACATTAAGCATGAAAGATGTGGATTTCACCAGCCAACGAGCGTGCTTAGGAAGCATCGGGATGGGATCTTTCTCGTGCTCAGCCAGTGACTCAACCGCAGATGTAAAGGTTCTGATCTCGCCATGTTTCCCACATTTAGCACCACTTCAAATGGTGGTGGGAAAGTAGTTGAACCCCAACAAATACTGATACATGATGATACATGCTTATTTATATGCAGGATATTGTAGAGCTTCGCACACCGGCGATGCCTGTAGGGGTCGGGGGGAGGGAAAGAGAGAGGGGGATTTCATCTGAACTTGCGGACATGACATGCTGCGAGCTGCATCTTGCCGTTGTCGTTGTTGTCGTCGTCTTCGTCGTCGTCGGCGGCGTCGTCGTCGTCGTTGTTGTTGTTATATAGCTGTTGCTGCTTGGTCCTGTTGTCGTTGTCGTTGTTATCTTTGTAGTTGGTACTTTTTTGCAAACCCCAAAATCGTCAAATCGACGGTTTTTGCAAACCCCCAAAAAGCGTCAAATAGGCGGTGTTTTCGCGATTTTTCACGTTCTCGGAACAAAAAAACACCGTAAATACCGATGTTTTTGGCTCCGTGTGAGCGCAAAACCACGGTATTTACGAGGTTTTGAGCCTCTGCTAGCAACAACCACGGTATTTACAGTGTTTTGTGGCCCGGGCCTAGCAAAAACGCTGGTATTTACGCAGTTTCCAGCATGTTGTCACAAGCTTTTTTTGGATGCCAAAGGCACAAACACATTGTAAATTACACGATTTTTACGCGTGGACAGCACCCAAAAAACATGAAACATCAACCAAAAAACGCCCAACAAGGACCTCCTTTTACCATCTTTCTTCCCCAAAAATGTGAAAACCCCAGCACCCTGAAGGATTTCCAAAAAGGTCGGCGGCACCGGCGCGCCCCCGGGTAGCTAAAGCTATGCGCTTAGCAACACCACGAAACGGCGAGGCTCAGCTTTTAGCCCGATCTTTTCCTGTTCGAAACATTGATGTCCTGTTGATAAAAGATAGGCAGCCCCTTTGGTTCGTGGTGAATGATGGGTGGTTCAAATTGTACCAAACCTTCCCAAACTGATTTTCCCATGGACATGGCTTGAAACTTGAGGCGATCGACCGTGTCTTGAAGCAACGGATCACTCTAGCGAAAGAGGTGGATGCCCAAAGCTCGTCGACCTTAGAAGCCCTGAGTTTATGCGACTGGGAGCCCCGGGCTGCAGCTGCCTTGCTGGCATTGAAATTGCATTTGGGTGCCATGGATGAGATGCAGGGATGAAGCGCCAAGTGGCGAGACGTGTGTTTTAACCATTTTGACCGTTCGATGTACAGTATATATATATGTATATATACAGACATCAAAAGTCTTAGGCATGAAATTGTTCGAAGGATCTGACATTCTTGCATTGCATTTAAAATTGCAAGGAGGAAAAAAACAATCAGGAAATGGCGACGAACGGAGTCTGTTCTGTCCGTAAAAGGGGACTTTTTGATCTATAGATTGTCTGGGTGTGCAAGAGCACTTGCATTTGCTTTCCACATGAAATTGAAGCATATTGCATCTACATACTAACACTTTGCTGCTACGGCAGGGTACTTGGGGATGCAGTTCCAGCTTTTTGGGTGTATATATGATAACTACATATAACATCATATAACTACAAGTTATAGGGGTTCGAATCCCAAGTTTATATCCATAAAAATCACCCTATCCGTACCCCTCAGCAGGTCTTTGGCACCCAAGGTGATAGTCACGACAGGTCACGAATCCCCTACCCCTGATATTAAACAAGGGAGGGGGATGTTGCGAGCGCCAAAATTTTGCATTTTTGAAATTCAATTTTTGCAAAAGATACTAAACCCTCTTCTTTCCAAACCAAAAATTGTTGCTTCTGCAACAAAAGCAACCACTGTGCATTCCCAATAGCTCTCCCAGGTCTTACACTGATACATATATAGATTTAACCAAAACGAACATGAATAATATATATATATATAGATAAAGGCAACAAAACAAACAAGTGCAAAAGACCTTTGCAAAGAGTGCAAGCATTGCTTTAAGAATGTATAGACTCTACATCTCTATACAGGAGTTTCCCTCAGCATCTGCAATAGTTTTTTAAAACATGTGCATTCTAAATTCATGCAATATGTTCTCTATAAAAAATAGTAATGAAGGAACCATAAATATGCAAATAACACTTGTAAAAAATCACGTTGCACAAAGAACACCATTCCGAAATGTATGCAACAACCCTTTGCAAAAAGTGTGGCATTGTCTGAAAGATAAGTATATAGCATTTAAAACATGTGCGTTTTTAACATGCACCAATTCATGCAATATGTTCTCTATAAATTAATGATGGAACAATAAATAACCAAACAATACTTGTAAAATGACTTTGCACACAGACCACTATTCCTCAATGTGTGCAACAACCCTTTGCACAAATTGTTACAAGTTTTAAACACTCAAAGTGGTTCATCTTACTTACAAAGGGTGTTGTGAACACAAAAAACAGTAAATAACATTCAAAGAATATCCCCAACATGTTGTTTTCTAGCGCTCACAACACCACTTTATGGTGGAAAAAGTGGCCTCTGAGAACCGGTGGTGAACCGGTTTGGATCAAGAAATTGATAGAAATAGAGTCTTGCTCAGTGCCCGGAAGACCTCCTCAGATATCACACCAAAATCGATGTTTGATCTCTATTCTTTTTGTATCCCCGTTATTGCTTCATTCTTCCTTGGTCATATACCATTTCATCCAATTGTTCACTAACTCCGGGAAGTTCATGTCCCGCTTAAACCACAAACATCATACAAACCTTTTAAACCAATTTCCCCAGTTGATCCCATTTTGGTGGGTTAGATTCCACTTTTTGGATCCTTTCGGCAATTTTCATCAACCCACTTGTGACCCTAATGTTTGGTTGATCATGGTGATTAAGCCCGCGTTAAGAAAAAATCGTTCATTTTTGTTTACATATTTGCCTAATTTACCTCCATTTCTTTCAACGTTTATAATTTTTCTGCACCATGTCATTTCAATTTTGAATATATAGTTACAATTGTTCCTAATTCTAACCATGTTCCATTAAGGCTGGCATCACCTAGTTTTCACCATGTTTCCCACATGCTTTACAAGTTTCCATTTTTCAGCAACTTTCCTAGTCTTAGCATCGTTCCCGATTTTATGTTTTGTTGATGGAAATCATCATGTCTGGTTGGTGGGGGACATTTTCTATTTTCCAATATATTGGGAATGTCATCATCCCAACTGACTCATATTTTTCAGAGGGGTAGGGCTCAACCATCAACCAGATTACTATTAAACCATCATTAACCATATAATAGCCATATATCAACCATATATTAACCATATAATAGCCATATATTAACCATATATTAACCACATATTAAACCAGGAGTTTTCTACCATTTTCCCCAGGATCCCCATGTGTTTTCTGCATTTTTCAGGTGCCGCGGCGCCGCTGCCGGAGCTGCAGCAGGCGCTGGAGCTGAGCGGCGGCGACGCGGACCGCGCCGAGGCGGTGGTGAAGCTCAAGGCGGAGCTGGGCGCCGCGGCCGATGGGGATCCTATCAGGGTTTCAATTTCGATGCCATAATATTTCCTGGTTGGTGGTTTGGAATATGGCTTTTATTTTCCATTTCATATATGGGATGTCATCCTTCCCATTGACTAATATTTTTTGGATGCCATAATATTTCTATAGTAATCCTGGTCTTAATCCTGTTAGATTTAACACCATAATTATAGTTAGAATCAGAGTCTTAGTTTCTATAGTAACTAATTCTAACTACAACTCTCATTTCGAGTCATAATAAGTGTAGTTGTAGTTAGAGTTTATAGTATTTTATAGTCATATAAAGCACTTTTCATGAAGATAGTTGTACTCGTAACTAGAGTTGTAGTTATAGGATGTTATAGGTGTAGTTAAAGTTCTAATCCATCCAGTTTTTTTCCAGTATGGTCTAATAATGATATAGTCTGTCATTATGCTGGACTCATAATAGTTATCACCTATCCAGTGGTTATAATGGCTACTATAATATGATAATAATGACAATAGCAATAGTATAATAGTTTTGATTATCATTATCATTATAATATTATGAAACTAAAACTATCATTATATATTATACAATAATGATTAATAGTTATAATAGCAATATGATTATATATATATAGTTACAACCATAATAATGAATAACAGTTGTATTTATAATAATTATAATATATACAGTTATAATAGTTAGCACCTATCCAGTAGTTTTGATAGTTGCAAACATACTATGATGACTATAGTCCCCAAGCAATAGTCCAATAGTCATGATGACCAGTCACCCCCCAAAAGACAGACACGTGGATTTTAACAAGTGGTGAAGTGAGTTCATAATCTGATGATAGCTATCATTATAATATAGTCATAATAAGAAGGAAACTAGGCATATTAAGATAGTTTTATAAGAATATAAACTATCCAGCGGCTATAATCCAGAAGCCATATATATTCTTTGCTATCATTATATAGCTATCACTGAACCACATTTTGGATTACTAATCAACCGACATAACTATAGTGTTAATCCCAGCATTTTTGGGATATTAACCGACTTTTAGAGCTATATATAGTGGCTATGAACCAATTTAGGTTCTTAATCGACTATACAGGGTAATAGTGGTTATAGCAATCCCTAACAAAAGATGCCGAAACTGTGAAGAGATCTCGAAAATATGGGGAACATGTCATCGAACTACCATGAACTGGATATACAAAATTACTAGCAACTCGTAAAAAATATATATATATATATATAAATCTAATATATATATATAAATCTAATATATATATATATTAGATATATATATATATCTAATATATATATATATGTATCTAATGTATATATATAATATATAATATATATATAATATATATATAATATATATAATATATATATATAATATAATATATATATAATATATAATATATATATATAATATATATATATAATATAATATATATATATATATAATAATATATATATATATAATATATAATATAATATATATATAATATATATAATATAATATATATAATATATATATAATATAACATATATATATATAATATTATATATATATGATATATAATATATATATATATAATATAATATATAATATAATATATAATAATATATATATAATATATATAATATATATAATATATATAATATATATAATATATATAATATATATAATATATATAATATAATATATATATATAATATAATATAGTATAATATAATATAATATATATATAATATTATATATATAATATATAATATATATAATATATAATATATATAATATATAATATATATAATATATATATATAATATATAATATATAATATAATATATATATATATATGATATATAATATATATTATTATACATTATATATAATATAATATATATATATATATCTAATATATGTATATATATATATATCTAATATATATATATCTAATATATATATAATATATATACTGCAAGGGTCCATCATATTGAAGCTTCAAGTGTGACCGTTTTTGGGGCTCTCAAACCAGCCCCATTTATGTTGCAGTCCCAAGACAGCATCAGACTTGTGGACACATGCTTCGACGCAGCCTTTTTCAGACTCACAGATATTGCTGCTTCGCAGTTCAGTCAACATGTCTGACACAGCAAATGATGAAAGCGCAGCTGGCAATGGTGCAGACGGAAGACCTGATGGCGCGGCTGTGCCAGTGCGCGCAGCTGTGCCAGATCAGCTGCCCGGCTTGCGTGCTGAAAGGCAGGTTTTAAAGCAGCAGCTGAAGGCCGCCACAAAGCAGATATGGAATGAGGTCAGGTGTGTGCATGTGTGCAAAAATCAGCCGTAGGTGTGACAAAGGCACCCGGTTTCATTCATATGTTCGAAATTTTGCAATCAATCTTGGATTCCAGCTTGCCACGAATTGGTCCCAGTTTTCGTGGTGGGCGCAGTATTTGGTAAGCCCTTAAATGCATTTCTCGTGGCAGGCGCAGTATTTGGTGAACCTCTGGTCCCACTTCTCGTGGTGGGCGCAGTATTTGGTAAACCCCTAATTCCATTTTTCGTGGCAGGCGCAATAGTTGGTGAACCTCTGGTCCCAGTTTTCGTGGCAGGCGCAGTACTTGGTAAGCCCCTAATTGCTCTTTTCGTGGCAGGCGCAGTATTTGGTGAGCCTCTGGTCCGAGTTTTCGTGGCAGGCGTGGGACAAACGCCGAAATCGTAACGTTGGATTCCAACGTTATGCTTGTTTTTCGTGGCAGGTGTGGGACAAAAGTCGAAATCGTAACGTTGGATGCGGCCAAAAAAAGAATATTATATTCTATTTCAAACCGCGTTCCAACGTTATGATTTCCACTTTTTTGTGAAACTGTCGCCAAAAACGGATCGTAACGTTGGATTCCAACGTTATGATTTTGGTTTTCGTGCGGGGAGTGCTTCGATTTTGGCCGCGCATGCTTTCCTAACAAATCGTAAATCGCATTGGAACTGGCCATCTCATGCTGATTCCAGGATGCTTCAGATTGTCATTTTTCGTGGCAGGCGCAGTATTTGGTGAACCTGTGTTCCCATTTCCTGCAAGAGTTGTAGTACAAAGAAGTGCATTTCTGCAAGCTTTGTAGTACAAAGTCGTACTGGAAAGTACGTTCCTGCAAGCTATTTGTAGTACAAAGTAGTACTGGGGAGTACGTTTCCGCAAGCTTTGTAGTACAGAGTAGTACTGGGAAGTACGTTCCTGCAAGCTTTGTAGTACAAAGTAGTACTGGGAAGTACGTTTCTGCAAGCTTTGAAGTAGTTCTGGCCAGTGGAATATTTCACGCCCAACCACAAGGGTGCCATCGACAGACGCACAGTCTGGGTGGAGTGTTCGAAGAAGGTGTTCAAGTCCGAGGACCGGCTGGCCCATGCAAAACGGAACGTTACAAACGGCCATCCAAAGGAGGCCAACAGCATAATCATGTTCCTATTTTGTTTTGAATGCGATGTTATCAAACATGGTTGAATTCATAAGAGATGTCTGCACTAGTGCTTTGGGACCTTCTGCCTCCTTTGGATGGGCGTTTCCAATGTTATGTTTTCAGTGGGTGTGAGTGGCGCCAGGATTGTTCTTCGAGCTTTTCTGGTGAAAATTTTCCTGCTTCAGCCGAATCTGGCACAGCTGCTGCGAGCAAGAACACTCCTGATGGAAATCTTCCTGCTTCTGTCGCAACTGGCGCAGCTGCATTGCAGGAACCTCTCATGCCATGGCCTTGTGATGAGGAGATTGAGGCAATGATGGACGATGCCTTTGAATTTTCGTGCGACTTTTGCGGGCCCAAAAAAGAGAGCTTCATGTGTTGTGCAGAGAAGCACCCATTACCTTGAAGATGCATCCCTTTTCGGTTTTTGTGATTGGCCCAGCAGGAGTTGTAACCCCATGTTGACTAAGCGCATTGTCCGGGCAATCCAATATATGCTCCATCTTTGCTCGCCGCAGGATGCTGCTGAAGGCGTGATGGCATTGCTGGTCAGTCAATTTGCGCGGGCCAAAAAATGAGACCGCTTTCTGTGCTGCTTTGAGGCTTCCGAAGTATGGCCCCCAGGTGTGTGTGTGTGTGTCGCTCGCCGCTTTTTTCAATTTGTCTTGGCAGGAGTTTTTGGAGACCCAGCCATGCTTGCCGTAATATCTGGGCGGGAGAGTGTGACCACTAATCTGGCCAAACTTTGTTTATTTCAGTCAATAAGGTGTTCACAACGCATGGCTCCCTATAGGGTCAACTGTTTTGGTCGTAAAAAGAAGATGTAGCTGAAAACAAAGCGTGATTCTTTATTCTGCTTCGCTGACATTTGGCTATACCCTCTTAGCGAAGGGGTTTCTGTCATGTCCATGAGAGGCTGTGTCAAGAATGCGCAGGAAAACACACAGGCATGATCTATATGATGTTAACTTGTACTTTCTAGTACTTTCATGTCTACGCAAGTGTGGCAAGGGTATATATACACATGGAAACTTGCTAAAAGCTGTGGCCGGGCGCGGCCAAAGGCACGCCATGGCAGCAGCGGAGCGTTGTGAGGCATTGAAAGCTTCTTTGCATGAAAACAGGTTGCGCTTGCGGAGTTGTGAGCAAGCTGCACGGCGCAACAAGCTGCGCTTGGAACATGGGGGGTTATCAGTGACAGCTGTCAAAAGGGTGCTGGCAGTGTACATGCTTTCTTCGTGGGATCTGGCGACGGCGGAGGAAGCTGCAAGACATTTGTCAACGTTACCCCCAGCAGATGTGAATTTCCCCAGCAAGACTTTGGTTCGGCAACTGTTTTTGGATATTGATTTAGACGATCTTCTTTGCATGCATGACGAAGCCAACATGGCTTGGGCAAGGGCTCTGAAATTTGCTCGCGTCTTCCTTGGGGAACAGGAGGTTTGGCGTTGGGTTCATGCACAGAACCTTGCCAACGGCGTGGCTCCGTGTGCAGCAGAAGTGTTTAGCCGCTTTGAATCCTG